GGGGGGGGGGGGGGGAGGGCAGGGACTACTGTCGGGCGGAATCGCTTTGTCACTTCTTGCTGCAGATCAATGTGCAACGACTATCTGTAGGTGATGGGCTGGCTGAAAGTGCAACTTCATCAACCCGGCGGGAGAGTACAAGTACTGCAATAGAATTGCTGCTGCTCTGCTCAGGGCCACGGCTTAGTCGGCCCTTTCATCTTGCTCGAAGTGGGCGCTGCCTCGTGCACCGGGAGTTGGCAGCCGTGTTGGTCAATTCAATTCGTTCCCAGTGCTCCGGATCGAAGAGGGCACGTCCAGGACACGGCCTGTACAATAGCGATTGACGCTAGTCCGGCAACGAACGGTTAACACCACCCCCCTTGTAATTCGTGCGTAATGCATGTTCCGGAAGTCAGTCATGAACACGATGTGTCTTTTGTCTTTGCCAACGCCGGGCTGTGGTGGGGCCGACAGCTGTTGTGCTTGCGTGTCGTTGTCTACACAGCACCAACACCTGGATCGGATGCCTTGTCGGTGCAACACTGCGTCCAGTTTGATTGCTCGGCAGAACGGAAGAACGAGTACCCTGCACATTGCCTGTACCAGTCGAAGCCTCCCAAACTCATTTCGACCCCCTCCCGCCGCCGCCGCCGCCGCCGCTCTCTTCCGCTTTTGTCGCGCTCGCTCGATGGATGTGACGGTCGACTTCCACACAAACGATGGTGTGTTGCGACTCGGATGATGCAATCCATGCATGGCGTGCTTCTTCCTTGCATCTTTCTACGTATGGCGCGCACGCGAAAAGCCCGCACGATGGTATCTTGGGTGGCAAGATTGGCCTCAACCGTATGCAGCGGCGCACGGCCAACCTGGCCCTCAACACCATCATCCCGGTGTACCCTTTCCCGGAGAAAGTCGGGAACATCACCATGGTGGCGATAAACCTTATGGCGGACCTGATGGTGAAGGGCAAGGGAAAGCCGAAGCAGGTGGGTGTTTGGGTGTGGACCGGTAGTTTGATTTGATGGCGGAACTGTCGTTCTGTTGTTTGTTGTTGATAATATTCAAGTGGTGTTGGTGACCGCTGGGATGGAGGAATTTTTAAGTCTCGTGTGAAAGACGCCATTTTTTTCCTATGTTCGCTGAGGGGCCTTTTGGGGTGGGGTCTTTTTTGGGGATGGACTTGTATGCATATATTAGCTATATTTGTTTTCTTCCGGTCAAGTGTCACGGGCTTTGGTGCAACAATTTTCAAATATCGTTGTTGTCAGTTTCCGTTCTCTCCTGACCTGTGCGCACCCACCATCACAGCAGAGCTTTAGGCGTGCAGTGATTCTTCAAGCTCTCCTTCTCGTTCTCTCCTCCCTGTGGCCGCGCCATCTTGTTCTCAACTGCACCTGCTTTTCCACCGCCCGTGTCCCTTTACGGGAGCACTCGTTGACACTCATCTCTTAATCTCTGTCCCAGTCCAATCCTTGTGTAGATGGATAATGTGCCAATGGCTGTGCTTGTACCATCCTACGTTTGAGTCGGTCCCTTCGAGTCGTCTGTCCGGCTGAAGGAAGGCGTCTTGCTCTGCGGCAAGTAGCCCCGTGCGGAGCACACTTGCAGTGCGGCAGAACTGTAGCGTGCGTGCTTGGGTGCGCCCAGCTAACGACCGAAACCTTGTTTTTTCTCGATTTGTGTTTTGCTTCGTAGGTGGACGCCTCGAAGCTTTCGGACGCCTTCAAGGTCAACTTCAGCCATCAGGTACATGTGCATGTGTATCCCACTCGAGCACCTTACACGGAGTTTGCTTGCTGAGAATAAAGTTGGCTCCACGCGACGCGAGTAGAGATTTTCCCCCGCACGTATTTTCACACGCCTCCGTCCATGGTCCAAGGCAAGGCAGCCCGCGAGACAGGGCTGACGAGGGGTGACAGCGGTGCCTCGAAAGGTCCACCAGCTCTGCAAAGACCCCCCTCCTCTGCTGTTCTCTTATTCCTTCGAGGCGTTTCGAGACGCGCATTTCAAGAACGCCAAACGTGGAGACATCAAGTGTCCTACATGCACACTATACTGAAGTTCGTCATCCTGGTGTTGTTGGAAACCGACCCGCAGGTATTCACCCCCAACCAAGTCCTGGCGATGACGTTCGAAGGCTCCAAGCTCGAGATCGTGGTGCAGAGCGTGGAGGTGGCCACGATCGACGGCCGCGAGGGGCAAGGGTTCACCAGCACGCACCGGAACACGCACGGCATGCTTAACAACCAGACCGACATCGAGTGGACCAAGCCCCCCGGGTCCATGGTGAACCTGGAGGGGCAGACGGGACCGGGGGGGCAGAACATCATATTCCGGGCGGACTTCGACTTCGCCAAGCTCGGCATCGGGGGTCTCGGGAAGGAGTTCAGCCAGATATTCAGGCGGGCATTCGCGAGCCGGATCTTCAACTCTGCGGTGGTGAGGGAGATGGGCATCAGCCACGTGCGGGGCATGCTGCTCTACGGCCCCCCCGGGTGCGGTAAGACCCTGATCGCTAGGCAGATCGGGAAGGTGCTGAACGCCCGCGAGCCCAAGATCGTTAACGGTCCCGAGGTGCTGGACAAGTTCGTCGGCGGTTCGGAGGAGAAGATCAGGGCCCTGTTCGCGGACGCAGAGAGGGAACAGGCGAGAGAGAAAGAGAAAGAGGGAGAGAGAGAGAGAGAGAGGGCCGGTAGACTAGGCGGCGTGTTTCTAGTTTGTTTGTCGGCATCGACCGCGCTATCCGCAAACGAACAGGCATGAGACAGTCTGACATGTAAGCGGGACAATAAATCACGATCAACACGATTTCTAGTCAGCGGACCCCCTTCCCCGGCGGGGACACGGAGGAGTTCCAAGGACAGGGTACTCTCAGTCCCTGCTGTGCTCCGCGTTTGTATGCTTGTCATGTGCTCTTGCTTTTAGGACCGTTGCACGTAGATTTTGTTGCCAAATGCTTGCTGAGTGTTATTCGTCGCCTTCTTGTTTCTTTTGTCGCCGCCCTTCCCCCCTTCCGTGCATTGCTGGCTTTTGTGAAGCTGGTGAGGTGCTCAAGGCTTACTTTCGCTTTGCTCTTTTTTCCTCTCCCCGCACCCGTCCCCCCCCGGTGTTTGCCATCAGGATTGGGTTTTCGTAAACTCGGCAACCAGGTTGCCGGGGTTTTTTTTTACCTCCGTTTTTTTTATTTGGTGGTAACCAGAATGGTGGTCGAGTAGATCATGTTGTGCGGGGTGAACCCTCACTCCGCGCAAGGGAGATGATCGCACCACGTTGTGTTAAAATGGTCAAACACCCTCGAGGCAGTTACACAGTGCTTACAACTGTCTCTGGAAGTGAAAGCACCAGAAAGTAAATTAAGCCATACGCAGCTGTCATCCGTACGCAAGGAAGTAAGCACAAGATGCCGAAAACCCTTAGCAGGATGCAGCGCACCCTTCATGCGACTCGCCGAATATCTCACGGCGCTTCGCGCTTGGTGATGTGAGAGCCT